TTTGGACGATGGTGTATTTTCCAGGTGATATGGTGAGAGTGTTGGATGTAGGAGTAGTCTGTTTAATTTCGATCATGGGAGAGGGACGATTAGCAAATTTATTAGTTTATCGTTAATTTTTTTTTATAGGATAAGGGTGATAAACGAGCACACAGTCCACCTGATGGTAAGTGGTTGCTGCGGCCCATAGACATCTACATCTATCCTCTGTTACAGATCAAAATGCAGATGCGTTTTCACCCGTGAGGACTAAGATGGAATGCCTCATTTCTAGTAAAAAGTGCCTCCGGTCACCTGCACTCACCAATCGAAACGCAGAGGTAAACCTCTACTTCAGGCTGGTATTCTGTGAGGTCGTGGTACCACCCCGGTTCGAGCCGGCGCATCCATGCGACAGCAAAAGCTGCCGCCTGGCTCTACCACTGTTAGATTTAGTTATTTAATACTTACGACCCAAATCGGCCTCGCCCGGTTAGAGATCTATTAATTTAGTTTTACTTAGATTACAGGTAATTATCAAAAACCATATATTTTATCAATTTGTCTATTTTTTTTTAAATATCCACATTTTTCGGCAAAAATATAGCCTAAATCACGCGTAAAATTGCCCTCGATCTGTTCTTCAAGTTTCATTACAGAAAGACAGTCAGACAAATAATTTTGAAATCAATAAAAGGCAACTATTTCGATATTAGAGACAGATTCTTTCTTCTACTCATTTAAATTGATAACCATTCTTAGATCATGTAGATAATGGCTTTTCTAAAATTAGGTTATTTAGTTTTTAAGACTTATAAGAATAAATAAACTAAATAAGGTGTATACATCAACTTTTGTTTTTTTTTTTATATATATCTCTACGATTTCTACACATATTTATATTTTTTATCCAGTTTAGCGGATGCCGAACTTGTTTTTCACCTTTGTTTAAAAATTCCTCGGCTCCATCCGTCCTACTGCTCTGTGGAGTATGCCTGATTTTTGAATGGGATTGCTTCAGTACTTATTGCGGATAATAACAATATGACGCACATTTCGGAACGAGGTTCCTTATCAGATGGTACGAATTTAGCGGATGGGGGCTTAGCGAGTAGTGTAAGATTTTTCCGTCAAGATCCCTTCTAACGTAGTGTAGACGGCCTTAGCGGGTATAAGGCAGCGACATGGCATGATAACCATCTCCCTCGCACTTTTTCTTATTTTGCCATGAAAGAAATATTATTTTATTTTAAATGAAACTTCATTTTAATAGATTAGACGCTATTAATTCAGTTCTTTGTTGTTAATCAATAATAAAATATTGTACGTAATACGTGTAATACGTTTATCAATAATAATATACTACGAAAGGAACTTCTTTCCAACCGAGTGTTCCACGATACTCCGCATGTTTATTTTAATAATATATTTTTATTTCATTACTGTTGCTGTCGTGTCTTCAAGGCATTTTCTTCTTTTACGATCCCCACACGACAAAATGGGATGTTGGGTTTTCTTATGTCGAATCCTCTAACAATAAATATGTTGGAGAATTAACATTTTTAGTTTTTTATGTCATTAGTCATTAATGTTGCTAGGAGTTTTCGAAACGCCGCGACTCGATTGCGCACGTGAATTGTCTGCCAGTCTCAACTTTGGATTATCTTTTATGTTCTATTGTATTTTGATTATTTCTTTTTATTTCTTTTTTATTATGTGCACAATTATTTCAAATAATTAAGGAAATAATTACACGACGATATTTTTAAAATATTATTTAATTACAATTACTACACATTGTATACCTCTGTTTTATTCAGCCTTTACATGAAAAATAAAAAAAAATGTGAATATAAAGTACAATTCAATTTATATTAAATTGTTTAATTATAATCTTTGGTATCTTAACAACCGCAAACAAAGCCGCGTGGAAACAACGTCGCAATCACAAATGTTTTCCTAATCTAGACCGAGTCTAGACAATACCAGTTGCTCTGTTACGGCCCGATTATACAGCTGATAGCCTGCACTCCCATGGACTTAGCTATTGAATACTTAGTGAGAGCTAGGAAGCCATTTTACACAAAATGTCAGTGAACTTTGCACGGAATATTGGGGTCATGTAAAATAAACAGATAAAAAATTACAAGGTGGTTGGACTCCCTTGAGAGAGCCGTGGTAGCAAGAGAGCCGTGGTAGCTCAGATGGTTAGCGCTCGCTGTAAACTTCACAGTATGCGAGCAAACTGGGTTCGATCCCCGCCGGCACCAATGAAATTGTTAATTGCAATTTTAAGTGCTGATTTACCACGTGCTCGGCGGTGAAGGAAAACCTGCATGTCTGAGGAATAAGAAAAAAAATATTCGAAGACATGTGAAATTCGCAAACACGCATTGGGGTAGCGTGGCGGACACTTCCTTGCCTTAAAACCCTCTCAGAAATGAGGTGAGGCCTGTGCCCAGCAGTGGGACGTATTTAGGCTGTAACTTTACTTTTTTTTTATTTTGCCAGCCTGTAATCTATTTCCGCCGCCGTGCAGTAGTGTGTGCACTGCTATGTTCAAGTCTGCAGGTTATAGACAGTTAGTACAAACAAAGACTGTTCAACATTCCAACGTAGTCGTCAGAGGTGACTATGGATGTGTAATCTTCTTTGTTTAAACTTGGTCGCAGCAATCCATTGGCTGCAATAGCCACTTACCACAAGCTCGACTGTCGATTCGCTTGTCACTTCAATTTTGTAAGAATCTACAAGGTTACAACTGAAAATTAGCGCTGCAGTGTTCTGCTGCAATATGAATAGTTGAAGACCCGTTTCCATCTTTCCATTCATTTCAGCCTATAAAAATTCACTGCTGACCATAGGCCTCCCCCAAATTTACTTTATAGAGAGCACTTTATTATAGTAGTCACCCTTGGCCGGCGAGTACCTTTATAACTTCAGGAACACTGCAGTTTACGCACTGCTGTTTGAAGGCAGAAATAGATAAGATATTGGTACCTATCCAGATGGATTCTTAGACGCAAAAGAAGTTCTAGGTGCCTATAAAACCTTTATCAATATATTTATACGTGGTAGAGCCATGCTGCATCTATATTAGTAGTATACTTGTAGCACGAATGGGTTGACTCGACCGGGGAAGGACCACGCTCTCACAGAATACCAGCGTAAAATAGCAGCTTAATGCTGCTGTGTTTCGTATGATGAGTGTAGAGAAAAAGTGAAAGAGAAAGAAGCAGAGACCCATTTTTCTGGAAAAGAGGCATTCCATCTTACGTGACAACGTATCTCTGTATTTTGGTTCTTAATATATGATAAATGTAGATGTCTGTGGGTGACAGCAACAATTTACCATCAGGTGGACTGTGTGCTCGTTTGTCACTTTTTTTCTACCAAAAAAAAAAGGAAGATAGCACAACTTCCTCATTCGGTGCGCACCCGTTTCCGCAGTACAGTTCTCGAAGCGAAATACCGTTTCAAAATATTAATAATATAAGCGGCGCGTCCACTAATGAATGCAGCTATTGTGGGAACCTCTCCCAGGCCCATTGTTGGAGGACAGCCGGCCCGAGGTCGACAGCACGCTCCCCAGTGATAACAGCACCCACTGAGCGCCAATTATCTTCTTTATCGCGCTAATTAATTATACGTAACCGTGATGATTGTGCAATCACATTTGACTGCGGTGCACGTTCAAATCTGTCTTTAAATCTTCTTCGTACATTAAAATAATATTATATTTAAAATAATGCAGTATAGACCGACTCCGAAGAGAATCCCTTACCGCAACATAATTTAATACGCTAAAGATAATCTCGTTTGAGGAGGACCCTCTTCTCCGTTACCATTACAGCCTATTGAACGTCCGCGTCTGAATCTAGGCCTCCCATGTATATTGCCTTATAAAGGGGATATCTGCCATAGTTGCCAAGCTCGGTAGACAAGTTGCCAAGTTTTCATTTTTTAGTTATTATTAGGAAAACGCGGCTGACCGTCTCCTGGTGTTTCCCTCAGTTACAACTCTAGTACAACTACCCTCTCCCAACAATTACATAATGTAACTAATAATTACGCCCTACACCAACGACGAACACTAACGCCTCAGTGTATCAATTATATATTCTATTCTTCATCATAAAAACTCACTCCTGGGCATGAACTTTTTTTTATAGAATAAGGCTGACAAACGATTACACAGTCCATCTGATGGTAAGTGAATGCTGTGGCCCATAGACATCTACATCTATCCTTGTTTCAGAATCAAAATATAGAAAATACAAATGCGTTGTCACCTCAGAGGATTAAGATGTAATGGCTCGTTTTCAATTAATACGATCTCCAGTTCTCTAGACGCGCCGTACGAAACAGCTGCATGAAGCTGCTAAGCTCACACCCTATTTATTTAATTTAAAGACACGGTCACTGGTCTATGTGATAAATGAACGAAATTTATGATAGTAGAGCCTCGATGTAGTCGTATTAACGTCGCGGCACGAATGCATCGACACGAACGGTAAAGCATCATGCTCTCCCAGAATACCAGCATGAAATGAAGAGAACCGGAGGCCCTTTTAACTGTGGTAACGGTTTATTCCATCATATACTCTTCTAGTCTCAGAGTCATCACATCTGAATTTTTTAAATCTAGGATAGAGTCTTGTGTCTATGACCTAAGTAAATCGATCGCCTAATTTCGTAGCTTGGTTGTTGTAACAGGTGAATAGATAATGCCAGTAAATAGATGGCGGTTTAACCATTTCGTTTACCTCAGTCGTAAATCACCCAGACCGACAAAGGTGCAACACGAGAGAGACGACTTGTACTTCTTCCGGCATTTAGGTTGTCATGTGACTCTCCCTACAACGAGAGAGAGCCAAGTCAAGAAATTAATTTTACGTTCTGATGGAAAAGTAGAAGAATATTTGCTGCAGCATCGACTTACCATCGAGTGGACTGTACTCGTATGTCTACTTCTATTAAAAACTATTCTTCAATAATTAACAAGCGTTCTCCTTCCACAGATAATACTCGCAGATGAGTGCACAGAAGCAGAGGGCCGGGCGTGGCACATGAAACACTTCGCGTGCGCGGAATGCTCCAAGCAACTGGGCGGGCAGCGTTACATCATGCGGGAGGCTCGGCCCTACTGCCTGCATTGCTTCGACAACTGCTTCGCGGAGTACTGCGACGCTTGCGGTGAGCCCGTTGGCGTAGACCAGGGCCAGATGTCCCACGAAGGCCAGCACTGGCACGCTACAGAGCGCTGCTTCGCCTGCCACACTTGCCACGCCAGCCTGCTCGGAAGACCGTTCCTACCGCGCCGGGGAGCGATATTCTGCTCCATAGCCTGCTCCCGAGGCGAGCCGCCGACGCCGTCAGATTCCTCAGGGCCGGGACCCAGACCACCGCGTGTTCCTCGACCAAGAAGAATGCCCTCACCTAAATCGCCACGCAGATCTCCACAGAGGGAACCGTCGCCACAAATTGACGCCGACTCTGAACCGAGTGCGTCAATAGCCCCAGAGTCTCCCCCTCCACATCCTCCGCCTCCCCCGCATGCTTGTCTCAGCCTTGACAGAGCGCTCGCCGATCTGAGACTTGAGCAGTCGATAACAGAACACCAAATACCACCATCGCCAACGTCAGAAGAAATCAAGGAGTCTCCGGAAGACTGGAAACCGCCGCATCCTGTGGAAGCGCATGCCGTAGTTACCCCCGGCCATTCGTCATCGATGCCAGAACTGACGGTGGTTGACGGTAAACGAACGAAGCCCAGAGGGGGTAGAACGGTAAGATTCTGCGGGGATGACAACCAAGCGTTTGAGCCCGATGAACCTATCCGGAAAGAGAAGGTGAGAGATGACGATGCGAGCAGCTACTGCAGTACCTGTTCCTCGTCATCTTCCTCCACGGAATCCTACACACTGCCGACGAGACGAGCATACGGCGGTGTCAGGATATCGTACGTGCCAAACGACGCGGTGGCGTGCGCCAAACGCGAGAGACAGAGGAAGAACGCCCATCATGATAAGAACTGTATAATTTCGTGATCCTGGGTGCTCATTGTGCCCCACAATCCCTCCAAGTGACGTCAACCTCCGAGCGAAAGACTGAATTTTTGATAATTTTCGTAGCATTTAAACGCCATAGTATTATAACGAATAATGTAGAAAATGTCTTCCTCATACGAGAATATCTCTTGCTCAATATCCAAATGCGAAGAAAATGTAAGAAGTGTAGAAATAAATGTGAAAAACATTATGCAATACGAGCTCAGACTTTTAATATTTAAATAATATTACAAAGTTACATACTTACTAGCGATAGTACGTGTATTTATAAGTCTTTGGATGTTTCTCTTAAATATTTTGCGATACCGAAAAATGTATTTCTTTACCTATGTCGAATTAAAAGATCTTACTAAACATCAGTAAATATTGGATTTATATAATAACACTCTGGCAGGATCACTAGTTCACTTGTGTTAGTTGAAACTTTTGGCGAAAAACGAAGTAATTAAAAAACGATCTTAGTCGGTCATTACCACATTCCGTGCATCAAAGTATACCACATACCGAGGTTTTTGTACGTACAATACAAGGGAAGGATGTGTGCGAGTGATGTGTTACGAGGCTCCGCTCCCACCACACATCACCCCGCTCGCATCTGAAACTAGCCCGCTACACATCCACGCACCGCTCATCTGCGTACCGTTTCACAGAGTCGCCACGCATCCTCGCACCGCCCAGCTACCTCGCACATCTCTGGTGGAAACGCAGCCTTAATAACGACTAAAATTACTGGGCTACGGTTACCAACCCGCCGCGCCGGGGGTTACTTGTCAGATATTTGTCAAGGGATATACAAAGTAACTATCATAAATGTCCCCCTATGAAGTAGTCTATGGGAACGGCAACTGTAACGGTGACGACACACCAAAGGATAAGTATGAGATTGTATTTGCTGACAACTTGTTATTAAATTTATTTACAACACACAACAACACAGCATAAAACTATGTAATAACAATTCGAATAAAATTAATATTAATAAATTGTATTTTTAGTAACTAACTTCAATTGCGTTTTGTACGATGTGATTTTTTGCACAGCCTACAAAACGCACTTGAAGTTAATGCGCAATGCAAAAGGAAATGACAGCCCTATTCTTTTCATGCAGACAAAATTATATTTAAGTGATTTTGTTAGCTTTAATAAACATAAGACTATCATTTGTGCGATTGACTGCCTTATATATTGGCATTGCATCTAAATGATTGTAGATGCGACTACGATTAAGGGTGGATTCGACCAAACTAGAGTAAATTTTATTCTTAGAATAATTCGCTATTCCATATTCGAGAATATATATAATTGCAATTCTAAGAATAGCGAGCTCATTCAAACCACCGTTTCGCACAATACCATTATGTTTCTTCGCTAGTGTTAAAATGTGTTTAAATTTAAGCTATTTAAATTATATTTTGTATTTCGAAACACTAAATAATATTAAGAAAAAATACACTCAATCAGAACCTCAGATAAAAACATACACAACGAATAAAACTTTAAACCATGCAAACAGCTTGACATTGACACTTGTTGACAGCTATTATAGAGACTATAATACGGAAAAAGTTAGTGGACATGTTATAACCTTTTACAAAGTCTCATAATAGAACAATATATATTTGCAGGGTTATATTTCTTCATTACTCGCGTATAGCCATTTCATTTCATACTTTAAAATGCGCGAAAAATCAATACAAGACTTTTCTTGAGATTTAAATCGTAGAATAGCTTATCCCAACTGCAGTTAATCTCTTTATATAAAAATCAATTGCAGTCCGTTAGTCTCGGTAAAACTTATTTGTTCTTTTTTTTTCTTTTTTTATAGGATAGGGTGACAAACGAGCACACATTCCACCTGATGGTAAGTGGTTACTGTGACCCCTAGACATCTACATCTATCCTCAATAAAGACTCAAGCTGCAGATGCGTTGTCGCCCGTTAGGACTAAGATGGAATGCCTCTTTGCCAGTAAAAAGGGTCTCCGGTTCTCTGCACTCACCATACGAAACACATCAGCGTTAAGCTGCTATTTTACGCTGGTTTTCTGTGAGAGCGTGGTCCTTCCCCGGTCGAGCCGACCCATTCGTGCTACAACTATACTTCTAATATAGCTGCAGCATGGCTCTACCACGTAAATTTAACGTTCTATCATCATTATCATCATCATTACAGCCCTTCACAAGTCCACTGCTGAACATAGGCCTCCCCCAAAGAATGCCACAAAGCACGGTCCTGAGCCACCTGCATCCATCGACTTCCTGCATGTCTTACCAGGTCGTCACTCCATCTCGTGGGGGGACGCCCTACACTTCGCCTACCGGTACGAAGCTGCCACTCGAGAACCTTTCTTCCCCATCGGTTGTCGGTTCTTCGAGCTATATGGCCGGCCCACTGCCACTTCAGCTTACTAATCCGTTGGGCTATGTCGGTTACTCTGGTTCTACTGCGGATATCCACATTCCTAAGTTTATCACGCAGAGAAACTCCGAGCATAGCCCTCTCCATAGCTCGCTGAGCGACCTTGAGCTTCCTCATACGGCCAGTAGTGAAGGACCACGTCTCAGTTCCATAAGTCATCACTGGCAACACGCACTGGTTGTATAATTTCGTTTTCAGGTTTTGAGGTATGTCTGACGAGAAAATGTGTCGTAGCTTCCCGAACGCTGCCCAGCCGAGTTGAATCCGTCGATTGACCTCTCGGTCGAAGTTGGACTTACCTAGTCGGACTATTTGTCCCAGGTAAACATAATCGTCAACAACTTCGAGCTTAGTGCTCCCAACAACTACCGGCATAGGTGTGACATGGACATTGAACATGATCTTTGTTTTGTCCATGTTCATCTTAAGACCTATCCGTTGGGAAACACTATCGAGGTCATTGAGCATAGTGCTTAGGTCCTCCAGCGATTCTGCCATAAGGACTATATCGTCGGCAAATCGAAGGTGAGTGATGTACTCGCCATTGATGTTGATACCGTATCCTTTCCAGTCCAGAAGCTTGAAAACGTCTTCCAATGCAGCGGTGAAGAGTTTCGGGGATATGACGTCACCCTGTCTTACACCTCTCTGCAATTGGATAGGTTTCGTACTCTGGTTCTGTACTCGGATAGCCATCGTAGCCCTACTGTACAAGCACTTCAACACTTCGATATACCGACAGTCAACTTGGCACCGCTGAAGGGACTGCAGCACCGCCCAAATTTCGACGGAATCAAAGGCTTTCTCATAGTCCACATACGCCAGACATACGTTCTATGCTAAGACTCAAAAACGGCTCGACCAATTTTGATAAAATTGCATGTTTGAATGGGGCCCTGGATGGTTGGGGTTCACAATTGGCGGGTCCAATTGTTATCCTAAATGAAGATGGCGATGTTGTCGATATCCAGAAATCACCCTTGCGAAGCAGGGACGGATCTCTGATCGTGTTTAAATCGAGGTTCGGTCAAATCCACCCTTAGACAATATCTAAAATAAAATTGATTGTAACTTTGCACTTCTTGACGTAATTTTATCATATCTTGTTTGTAAAACGCCTATTTCATTTAACACATATCCTACTTTGCCATTAAGTTTAGCTTTGTATTTAATAAAGAGAATTGTGTGTAAATTAAAAATGAAATAAGTACAAATGTATTAGTTTGTGTAATTATTGTAACTGCTGATGTGTTCAGATGTTGTAAATAGTTAGATATAAAATAGGTATGAAGTTGCCTTAATTATTGCTGTAAGTACTTTAAAATCAATAATGTGTTTAATGTGTAGTTTAATTGAATATCCTAAAAATAAAAAAGTGGTTTTGAACTACCAATTTAATAAATTATGATTGCAATGTTGCCGTAATCAATAGGCAACATTAAAAATTCACTTTATGCTGTCACAAATAGGAGAATAGTAAAAACTAAAGTCCCATTTTATTTTTAAATTTGACATTTTAAAAATAAATCATTAATAAATAAAAAATCACCAATAAAGAGATTTGGTAATCTCATACTAAAAAATTGTTATTGTATCTTTATTCCTGTCACCTCAAATGCATCTACATGACAAAGGAACGCGGACTAAAAAAATAGTAAGCCTAATGTTAGTTTGTAAAACAAAAATCAAAGTAAACACTAAAATAACAACGAAAAAGACATACCAAATTAATTCACCTCTAGCAACCCTGCATGAACAAACATGATATTTTTTTTACTATTTGATTGATTGATTTCAATAACAAACAAAATAAAAACCATCGTTCGTTCACTTAAAAGCAATATGTAAATTAAACTGTCACAGAACTGTATGTAATGTATATAAAATATTTAACTTTTATCGTCACAAAACTTGCTCTCATCTAGGTAAGGCACGCTAAGAAAGAATAAGAAGTTTTCAAGAAGTTTTCCAAAAAAAAAACAAACAAAATGATATATTTATTATTGCCTGTCCTACACTAAGTTTTGTACAAAATAAAAGGAAATAAAGCGAACAATGTATAATTTGGTTTGTAAGTTATATTGTAATATCGAGAGAATAAAATGTTTTACAATGAGTCTGTATTTCATTTATCTTGGATAGACATCAACCTATCATCTGCGGCCATAAGAAGCTACCGTACTATAATAGCAATAATCGAATCTACCACGGAGATTGCTCTGAAGAATTGTTCGGATTAATTCCAGCTGCTAAATTTCACGAACGCACATCGCGTTAAAATTTACGATGCCTTACCATCTGGATGAATGGCGGTCCACGACTGTGCGTTTTACTAAGAGTTTTCTTCCTCGTACAACTTATCTAGACTAGCCATCGGCGCTGGACAGGATTATAGTGCACAAGGCACGGGGATAAAACACCGCCAGCTTCCTGACACCAGGCTGCTACTGAGAACTGCTTGACAAAACACCCAATAACTGATTTTGGTCCGACCCGGGATCCGCACCCAGGACTTATTGAATAGGAACTGTGTTTGCGGCGACTAGACCAACGAGGCTCTC